GTCTTGAAAATGTAATTTGGAGGAGAAAGGGTTACTCCCCTCCCCCCACAAATTGCTCATGTTGTTGATTTCACCTAGCATCAATTAAATAGCAAAATCTCTAAAGGGGCAGGAAGGAAGAGGAACATAAGACATATGAGATAGTGTAGGGGATGTGATGTTTACTGTGCTTCAAGGGGCAGAGGAGCGACGAGGGAGTCTCTCCAGATGTTCAGATTCTGTAGTGATAGGTTGCAGGAATAAGTTCCACAGCTGTGCACCAGTTGCCAAGAACAGTTTGCACCACGTAATTGTGCGTTGCTGTCTTTTTATTTGGCAGTTGCATTGTTCTTTAATGTATTGACGCTATAATACGCCATGAGCATTTGAGAAGATACGTTTGTCAAGTAAGCCCAAAACAGTTTCAGAGCTCCAATCAGGAGATAGCTTGTATACTGCAAAACCATGGGCCCGTGTGCAGTAAACAGCCGAAGTTAATTAAGCTTCTGGCTAGTGATCATCCAACAGAAAAATTATGAAGAGAAGCATTGTGTTCAAAATGCAGAGAATGACCACATTCAGATGTCCAAATTGGAGAAGAACATGTTTTAGACAATTTAGGTAACTGCTTTTTCCTAAATAGTTTTTTTGAGTATTTGGATTTGTGCTAAGCATTGTAGATGGGGTTGGCCCTGAAATGGAGCTTGGGAAAGGTTACAGCTCCCAGAATCCCTGGTCATACTGGCTAGGGAGTATTTGGAGTTGTAAACCAAAAGTAGTTTTCTCAAACATTGAGAAGCAGCCACCTGACATAACAAATAATCTTGTGCTGTCAACTCAATTCTAAGTTTCACGGTTTTCTAAGTAGCAAATACTCAGGTTTACCCTTCCCTTCTCCTGGGGGCACCCTGGGACTGTACAGCTTGCCCAAGGTTACTCAGGCTGGCTCTTTTCCTGGGAGGCATAGTGGAAAATCAAACTCCCCACCTCTGACTCCATATAAGCCAGATACCTAAGCCATTGAACTATTCAGCCATCTATTGTTGTCAAGGCAAAGAAAATACAATAATAACAAGATAACTAACCGCAAGCCTTCTGGCTCAGGCAGTCACCTCATCCTGTCCAATAACAGGGCTGGCTCTTCTAGAGTGGCAACAATCAACTCAAGTTTTGATCTTGCTACACACCTGTGAAATGAATTGACCAGTATTGTTTTGTGCTTCAAGAGGCAGAGGAGTGATGAGGGAGTCAGAACACAGCCAAAGAGCCCGAAAAACCCACAACAACAATTGCTTGTAGACTTTAAAAATCAAGCGAAGCAAAGCTCCTAATTGTGGGTAATTTTGGATGCAATCAGTTAGACAAAAGGTGAATGCAGCGAATGCAGCCATGGCCCCCTCTGAACTGCATGTGTGTGTCTAATCTGGACTAGACAGGCTCATCTCCATTTATTAGTTGCATGCCACAGAGCATGATGAGGACTGGAATGAAGAACAGATACATTAGTAGATAAAGTGGAAATGAGGATAGATAAAGCTTCAAAAAGATACATTTTTGGATAATAGTTCCCAAAATTCTTCAGCTGCCATAAAATTTAGTGCCAAAAGTAACTTTTCCAAGCTTCGAAAAGCACTCATACTTTGCTTAATATGTGAAAACAAAGTTGCTTATTACTACATGGTCTAGAGGGGTGG